GATTAGCCAAAGGCATTTTTACAGTGTGTGGTGCCTGTTTTACATAATCCCAGAAGGTCCTCCCATTGTACGTTACCACCAATGGGCGGGAGAGTTTCCTGTTACCCCTGCCTCATGAACTGACTCCCCAGATCCTCCTCTGTGGTAGGTAGTGATTTTACTTATATTTTTAAATTTATTTTTAATGTTTTTGCCCTGGATAGTTCGGCTCAGTGGTCAGAGCATTGGTCAGAGGGCCAAAGAGTCTCAAGTCTGATTCCTGGTCAAGGGCACGTACCTGGGTTGCAGGTTCGATTCTTGGCCCAGTTGGGGTCATGTGGGAGGCAACCGATCAATGTGTCTCTCTCACATCAATATTTCTTTCTCTCTCCCCTCCCTCCCTCCCTTCCACTCTATCTAAAAAAAAAAAAAGTGTCCTCGGGTGAGGATTAACAACAAAAACAAAAAAGTTTTTATTGATTTGAGGGAGAGAAGGAGAGAGAGAGAGAAACACTGATGTGAGCAACATCGACTGGTTGACTCCTGTGTGCACCCTGCCTGGACCAAACCTGCAACCTGGGCATGTGCCCTGAGTGGATTCAAACTGGCAACCTTTTGGTGCATGGGACACTCAACAAATTGAGCCACACCGACCAGGGCTATTTTGTTTCTAATTTATAGAGAAACGTTCTGGTCCTTACTGGTAGCATTCACAGGTACCAAGAGAACAGAAGAAAAATTTTTCCTTATCTTACTTAACCAAAGAGGGGACAGCAGAACATGCCTATTTGGGCCCTCTGTGTATAACAAGGCCTCTGAATACAGCTGCAAACACAAATCTTCAATCACTGCAACTCAGGATCTAGCCCAATGTCTGGGCATCAGACTCGCTTCAATGCACATTTGCCAGTTTAATGAAAGGTATCTGTTTATTATAATCACAGTGTCTTCAAAATATAAGGCACATAATTAAAATCAGGATGGTTCCTACAATTAGGAATGTTAATTACAAAAAACCCAATCGTCTGCACCAAAACCACGCCTAGTCTTATTTTTCTAATGCTTTGGCTTTTCCGGACCTGAGTTTCCCCTCACCAGATAAACAAAGGAAAGTGTTTTACATGAACCACATCAGGGAGAGCGCGCTACCTGCATTATGCTAACACCGGCTGCAGAACAGAAGAAATCTCATGCAAGATGCATCGGACGGGACGGGGTCTCTGGAGAGCAGACCCAGGCAGCAGGCCGGTGCCAGCAGCTCCATGACAGAGCCCTGTGCTCCGAGATCGCAGCAAATCGAATAAATGACTAATAATTAAATTGTTGTCCCTCACTTCTTCCAGGAAAATAATTTGAAAACTAAATTGCACATGGAGATGGGAGGGAGTTATGCCACTGGCCATGTTCATCAGTCTGGGATTTACAAAGGCTTCCCTACAACCCCAATCCATTTTTCCTGCCCTTATCTGCATTTCATTATTTTGCATTATTCTGTTGTATTGTTGTGGTGGTGATTTTTGCTTTTTAAAGAAAACGCTCTCTCTCCTAAGGCGTAGAATAATAAGTATCAGAGTTAAAAGGATGCTGAAAATAATCTAGTCCACACCTTCTACTTTTAAAAATAAAGAAACTGTCTCAGAGAACTTATAATTGGCAGAACCCAAGACTATGGAAATTATGTCTTAAATCCATCTCCTCTCAAATCCTAGTATAGCTTTTTTTTTTTTTTGTATTATGTATATATAACTGCCTTTTATTAGGGGAATAAGAAAGTATGTTATATACTGGGCATTTGTCTCTAGGAAGCAAAACTTTATAGTGCCAATTTATGTTAGGTAAAATCTTATAAAAAGAAAGCTAAGTTTTTTCATAAAATAAGATAATGTCATTTAGATATTAGGAGACAACACAATGAAATCTTAGAGCTAAAAGTATTCTAAATATTTGCAGTACAACCACTTTTACATACAAAGTGACCACTCAGTGAGAGGGGCAGAGACAGTATTTCATAACTCCCAGCTCAAGGCTCTTTCCACTCATCAAGCTGGCTTTTCTATATTACGCTCTGGTACAGCATCTGGGATTTTTAATGCATGAAAATCATAGATGTTATAAAGCAGCCATTCATGACCCATTCAGTTTCTAGGGCGAGGTACACACTATAGCCCTCCTATGCTTTTAGTCACCTTCCAAAGTCTAGCAGGTCCACCGATTTCAAAAGGCAAGATGAAAATACCACAGCCCCTACGGTAGAATATGAATTAAGTATCAAGCAGCCAAATCATGCCGAGGGCACAGGCCTTCCTGTCACCAAGGCTCAGGCCCACACGCTCTTATTCCCTCCTTCCTGGTGCCACTGGCCACTGGCCAGACTCTCCCAGGCCAGGCCGCACTGACTGAGGTCCGGGTTATCCCCAGCTCATCCATCTGGGGGCTGACAACACCCTTAAACCAGAGGCTCCTGAAGTCACATCCCTTGGTGACACATCCCTAAACCCCCCCCCCCCCCCCCGCCACTGTCTGTGAGACTTCACTTAAGCTCTGTCCCTCTTCAGGCTTAAATCTGCGCCTGGAATAAGTGGCAGAGTTCTCTCCAGCCCGACAATGATATGGTCTATGATTGAAGGGATACTTATTTTCATAAAGGGAAAAGAGGAGGTGAATTCAGGTGGCCTCTTATAATACTGCATTTGAGTCCTGACCCTTCTTTCTGTGGCTCTTGCCCGCCAGTCGGCCTGTGGGAGTTGAGTCACATTTTAGAGCGGGTGGGAGAACGTCTGAGCAGAAAGAACAGCCAGATTCCCAAACACAACGGGAAGGGCCGGGCAGAGAGGGGCACAGACAGAAAAAGCAGAGATACTCAGGAACAACGCAGGGACTGCGGGAGGAAGGGCTGACCCTCTGCCTCCTGTGAGGCAGAACACTCTTAAGGCACAGGTTCAAGCCTAGATATTATCCTGCCAGACCAAATGTCAGCAAAGTGACATAAATGTGGATGAAAAGCCGTATTCTGCGGCTTCATTACACGGGGCAGCTCTGTAACAAAGGTTTGCTCCGGCCTACCCAAGGGATAGAGCACACAGAGAAACCATAAAATCCCTTCTGTGAGTCCCAGAAGACTTAGCCAAGTTGTGGTCTTGGCCAGCACAGCAGCGAGGCACACACAGAACTCCGACTTCACCATCTGCAGCCAGACGCAGGCGTTACTTCGTAGCTGTCCCAAGCTCAGCCAGCTGCTGTCCATGTCCTCACCCATCATTCAGGTCCCGAAACTGCACAACTCTAGGGTGCAGCCTTCCCATGTGTGGTCACCATGAATCTGTATATTTACTATGACAATTTTCTGGCAGGGGACAGCACAGGTTTTGAAACAGCTAAAGGATCGTGTGGCCTAGTGGTGGGGCCTCCCAAACCTACATAAAAACACACGACAGCCTCCAGAACAACAAGGGCCTTATGCTCACATTACCTGGCCTCATATTAGCTCTATTCTGGGTCCTCAGATATTGCACTACTGTTATCAAAATGACGGACAACTTTAAACAAGGACGAATATAAATAGAATGTGAGACCCCATGAGAACAAGAGTCCATGTTCCAGCCGTGGTCACCTACAGAAGTTCTGATGTTAGTCTGGAAAACCTCAAGAAGGCAATAACCTCCTTCCCAGGCTCCCTGTGGGCTTCCAGAAGGCTCTGGCAAGCCTCAGGTTAATGAGCACCTTCCTAGGGGTGGTCACCATATGCAAAAGGGGGGAGACTCAATCCAGAATCCAACAGCGCTAAACACAGTGTTAATAAACGTGACACAAATCTGGAGCATTTCGGGAGGTGTGATGAAGAACTGGATCACCAGCGAGGATAAGGAATGAGTTCCCATCTGGGCTCCGCCTAAATAGGTCACCTTGAACGTCTCCTTGTAGTGGCAAAATGTTAATGATTGCTCCTCAGTCTCAAGAACTGGACTATATTTTTGATGTTTTTCTTTGAAAAGTAGGGTTTGTGAAGGTATAATTTACACAGAGTAAATTTCATACTTTCAGTGCATAATTTTATGGGTTGGAAAAACTCATAAAATCTGTACCTACCACCACAGTTAAGACATTAAACAGTTTCATCACCCCCAAGTTCCCACATACCCTTTTATAACAAACCCCTAGCCCTAGCCCAATAACCACTGATTTGATCAAACTAGACTGTATTTAATACAAATTTCAACACTGTTTAAACTTCCCCTTATTTATCATATTTCACCAATTCTCTCTCTCACACACACACACACACACACACACACACACACACCCCTAGATCTGAACACTGAAATTAGGATGTGTCTTACAATCAATGGCATTTTACTATAATTGGTAACACTTTTTCTTCTTAGAGATACATAAAATAATAAAGGGTTTTATAATCTATGGTGCCTTTTAAAAATGCAGTGAAATGTATTAAAGTCGTAACATTTGAATACTTACTATGGGTTAAGCATCCTACTAGGCCCTGAAAGTAAAAAATGAATCAAATGGTCCTCAAGGAACCATCACTTGAGAGGGGGAGAAAAACAATTACAACACAATGTAATCATGTCTATATTGAAAGGTTTTCCATTCACTAGGACTAAATAAAAGTATCTCTAGATTGGCCACCCTTCTTCTTTCAGGCAAAATCCTCCCCCCACCAAGTCATATTCTTTTCTGTGCACAGGAAATCCGGGTGAAGGAAGCATCCTTCAGCTTCACCGCTCCTTCCAGGGGTGAGTTATTGCCACACCATCTGACATGCTGCCTAGGAGCAATCCCAGGAGTGCCTCCACAGTGCACCGCTGTCGCAGGGAAGTCTCATCTCAGTGTTCAACAGCTGCAGGCTTTTATGATGATATCAAAGGACAAGTCACCGAGAATAACTGCTCAATCTATGAAAGGCAGATGCCCCGAATCTTCCACAGACATGCTTGAGGGTCCCCAAATTCTTCCCGGCACAATATTTAAAGGGGAATCTAGAGAAGACAAGTTAGTGTCCTTACCTGGTTCTTGAAAGTGTTCTTCATTTGAGAGAGTTCTAGACAAGATAAGTATCAATGCTTCTTTAAATTGGTCAAAATGCACCTAAAAACAAGCAATTCAAAATAAATTCAAAATAGTTCCCACAGTCTTAAGGTAACAAATCCATCTACATACAAGGTACCAGAACCATTGTTTGCTTCCTGAGGGCCTTGAAGGAAGTCACTGCCTGCTTCTGTTCCCTTTCTTCTCCCCCTTCATTTCTCTAAAGCACTAAAGAGAAAACGGGCTGATTATTTTTGACACCACAGTGTCATAAATGCTAATATTAATATTAATATTTATTCAACCCCGAGGGCAAAAGCTATATAGCAAAATTGTCTTTATAAATGCAGAAAAATATGTGTTTTGAACTCTTAACTTCTTTTATTTTTCTGAACAAGACCTGAAGAGAAAGATGTTAAGTTAGGTATTCAGAAAAACTTCCCAAGTAACTGATCCATTATAATGGGGCCCCAAAGAGGCTTTCATCTCTTAAGATTTCTAGAAAAAAGTAAGTTATCTTCTGAGGATGACTTGAATATAGTCTTGCCTGGAGCAAGGTATATAATATTTATCTCCCAAGGCCCCCGTGATTCTATAAACAAGCAGAAATCAATAGCAAACACAAAGGATAAAAGCACCTTGAAAAGCATTTTCCTGAATTCTTAAAAATACAGTCACCTTGACTGAAGTAGGAAAGCACCTGAGTTTTTTTTTTTTTATCCTCACCCGAGGACATTTTTCCATTTTTTGTACAGATAGAACGGGAGGGAGAGAGAGGAAGGGAGAGAGAGAGAGAAACATCGATGTGAAGGGACACATCGAGTGGCTGCCACCCGCACGACCAACCAGGGCCGGGGACAAACTGCAACCGAAGTACGTGCCCTTAGCGGGAACCGAACCCGGGTCTCTGCGGACCGCAGGCTGACGCTCTAACCGCTGAGCCAAACTGGCCAGGGCAGCACCTGAGTTTTATATAAGTAAATACTCAGAAGAGGGACATCGCTTTGGTTGAAGGGGTAAAGTGGTTTTCTTTACGGCCACGTGTGCGTGGTGTGAATGCACGTGACCCCACCGTGGGGCAGCAGGGAGGGATGGCACTCCCTTCTCACCAGCATTCAGCTTGATGATGTGCCGTCTACTTATACAGAACCCACACTGAACACAGAGTCAGGAAATGTGTACTCTGTGCTGTCATGGGTCTCTTACAAAACGAGGCCTAGACGTTTAAATATAGGTGACAGATTAAAAAACACTTTCAAATAAAATTGGAAAAGCAACAAGCCTCAGTCATTATCTAAACAATGGAAGAAAAATCATAGAACGTCTTATCCATGCAAATCAAAGGAGAGGAATCCACTGAGATCCCTGTCATAAAATTGTACATATTTGCAATTCACCATACTCTCCCAAAGAATGTGGGATTTCCCTGCCATTCTACTTCTGATTAATTGGAATTCCATTCCAAAATCATATTCCTTCAGACCATGCAGACTAAAAATCAGCATTTTCTAGAGCCAGAGCAGAAATCTGTCAAGGGAGCCAGGGCCATTCACTCATGAAAGGGTTAAAGACTGCAGAACCGGGAGCTGTGCTAATTAGGTTTCACAGCTGACAAATTGCTGGGAAGCCTGGGGGAGGGAGGAGCCCTGCCTTGACCCAGAGCCAGAGGTGGGCTTCAGCCCTGTGGCATCCCGGCCAGTGCCCAGGGGCACGGCCAGCTTCCCAATCAGCCAGTCCACAGACACCACACACCCAAGGGCTCTCCAGCTTGGGGGCGCTGTCAGGCCTTTACTACTCCCTGCCAGAATCTCAGGGGGGCAGTAGAAGGGTTAGGAACACAGGCTCTGGGTGCTCACCCTGGCTCAGCCACTCACTTCATCCTGTGATCTGGCTAAATTACGAACCCTCTCTGAGCTTTGGTTTGTTCATCTGTAAAAATGGGGCTAACAACTAATATCTATGATTCATTCAACACACATTTATTGAGCAGCTGCTATGCACCAGGCACTGTCCCAGGCCCTGGTGATACAGTAGTGAATGAGTGACAAAGATCCTCGCTGCCATGGATCATAACTGCTCAGGAAATGTCACCGCAGGTACTGTGCTAAGAGCACTGCATACATTTTGTTATTTATAGGACCCCCTCTCTTATATCAGTAGGGAGACAAAATGAGGATTTTGTAAAGTGTCTAGAACTCCCTGGGACTTATTAGATAGGCAGCAAGTAGAAGTTACTACTACTAACAGGTACAATAATCAGGGTGACTGTTTCCACCACTGTTACAGAGAAACAGGGCCATATTGTCAAGCAAAGCAACTGTCCACGAGAGTAGCCAAGGTAGGGAAGTAGGAGGGGTGTTGGCCACAGGGAAGCCAGGAGCCTGCCTCCCGCCCCAGGATCTGTGCAGCTGCCCAGCATCACAGCAAATGATCCAGTCTGCTGTGTTTAGGGATCCCAACTCTGTGGTTTCTCCTCTGTCTTAAGATATTACTGGAGATGACCTGAATGAAACCTAAGTCTCTCGCAACAGTTATGAACTGAACAGAGTCTCCTGTTTCAGAAGGGAGCTGACTGCCACCTTGAGACTTTCAACTCCTTTGTACTTGTCTCTGCTGGGTCATCTGAAGATATAAGTTTTGATAGAGATAACTGGAAAGAGCCCTTCTGAGTTTTGTCCTAATGTTCAAGTCAGTGAATGTTAGCCATGAAAATTACCCAGGAGTCTCTGTACCTCAGTTTTACTCCCCGTGAAAAATGACCGAAACAGCTACAATCTGTAAGTTAATTCTAATCAATTTCCAAGGCTTTATTATACCATATTTAAGGGATGCTTAGGCCTCATACACACACACACCAACTTTTGAGGCAGTATCATCCTCATTTATGTGCAGGTTGCTTATGTCTCAGCCTCAGTGACCCAGAGCACGGCAGACAACCAGGACATGCGGTGGTGTCCAAAGCTGAGGACAGCGCCATGAAGCTCACAGTCCTGTCATAGAAAATGCCACAGAACCAACTCCTAAGCTCTTTAAAAAAAAATTTTTTTATTGATTTTTTAGAGAGAGAAACATCAAGTGTGAGAGCGGAACACTGTTTGGCTGCCTCCTGCTTAGAGCACGGGACGTTGCTCAACCAACTGAGCCACACCAGCCAGGGCTCCAAGCTCTTTATTCTCACGCTACCTGCTTTACTTTAAGCTTCATTATCCTGCTTCCCAGCCTGCTACAGATTAGAAGCTGCAAATAAAAGACAGGATGTTCCAAGGCAAATACAGAACATAAGTATTGACATACTGGGAAGGAGGAAAGACTATCCTCTCTCTAACAAAAATAAAGTATAAATTATTTGTACTTTAACAAACTATTTTTAAAAACTATATAAAAGAGGCACATGCTCTCAAAAACCTAATAGGTTGGGATTATTTGGGGTTGGGGTAAGGATCTCTGTGCTGCTAAATAAATCCTGAGGGTATCACTCTTATAGAAGAACAAGTGATAGATCAAGAAGATTAAATGATCAAGAAAAACCTTATAATTCTTAATATACTCTTTGATAGGACATGACGTTAATCAAAAAAGTTTAAAATCCCCAATGGTTGACCTTAATAAAGAAAAAAAGTCTGCCACTAATTGGGGTAAGAGATCCAGTTATTAGAAAATTGTATTAATGTGGGTCCTGGATAATACTAGATGAATGGGGTTATTTGTGTAGGTTCATTCTTTCCTGGGCACTGGGTCATTTGACTCTCACAATATCCATGTGAGATGGTCAAGGCAGGCATCCCTCCTTAGAATTGAGAGAGAGGCTCAGAGAAGACCTGTGCCTTGCCCAAGGCCACACGTCTCGAGGTGAAGGAGGAGAACCCAGGCCTTCTAAAAGGACAATTCAAATGCAGCAACTCTGCCGGCCCCAGCTGCTCCACCGCTCAGGGAAATCCCTCTGCTGCTCCGAGTCAAATCCTCAACTTTACACAAAGCCACTGCGTATAAGGCAGTCCACTGGGGCTGCAGGGGATACAAGATCAAGAGACACATAACCTCTGCCGTCCAGGCGTTTATCAGCAACTCTGCAGAGTCCAGTGCTGGAGGATGGAAAGGGGAAGAAGAGAAGGAAGTTCATTAGTAACTACAAGGTAGAATCTGGTAAGTGTTCTGAAAGAGACAAAAACAAAAGAGCATATTCTACCTGGCTAGCAGAGAGGAAAATGGGGACATTTGGTGACATCTGACTTCTCCAAGATATTCACAGGCAAAGCTGAAAAGGTTTTCCAAAATGAACTTATAATGTATTAAGTCCATCACATTTTACAAGAAGAGGGTCTATAAAATACTATACTTGATTAACTCAGAGGTTCATCATTCCAATAAGGTCTATCTAAATGACTCCTCCTCCCTCCACAAAAAGAAATCCAAAAATGCAAAAACCAAAACCTGGCAAACTGATCAAAACCACTGGGGCAGTGGGGGAGGGCGAAATGGATAGAGGGGGTCAATCACATGGTATCAGATGGAAACTGACTGGACTTTTGGTGGGGAGCATATTATAGTGCACACAGACAGTGAATTATAATGCTGTCACCTGAAACTTCTATAACACTATTAACCAATGTTATTTCAATTAAAAAAATATTGAAACAGCTGTAATTCTTAAATTGATCTTGATTTTCCTTCTTGCAAGGATATATAGACATTGGACCCTTCACTTTAGACAGAAATTCCATCTTTCAAGAAGATAGTTCTCTAATAGAGGCAGGTGACGGCTATTTTCCATCAATGCTCATGAATACTGATGTGCTGAAAAGCCCCTGAGGGCACAACCCAGGACCAAAATGTTAATAAATGCCCTCTATTGTGAAGAATCCTGCATCAGTGGGCTCACTAAGTTCAGGAACTGGAATTTTTAAGTACCATTCTTTTCTCCTCCAAGGGAGTTTTACTATTGTGTTATGTTAAAATTCAGAAATCACCACAAATATACAATGCAATTAAATCTCAGGAGATAATAAGCTTCTGGGCTATGCATACCCTGGCTGGTCCCTCCTCATTTGAATAATAATTGC